AGTACTTTTAAGATATTGATGATACAAATCTTCAGGTTGCTTTCCAACATTAAGAAACAGTATAAAAAATACCTCTTCTCCATAAGCTTTTCATCAGCAGTTTGAGATCATATTATTTTCAGTAATTATATAAATATAATTTTTTAAGTGTGGGAATACCATAAGTGTATGAAAATTTTCTAAGGTTACATGTGCAATAAAAATCCACTTAAGTGTTGAGTCTTTGCTATAATAATAAGGTGCATCCTGATCTTCTCCATTTCTTTCCTTTCATGCCGTTGCCCCCACCCACCAAATGATCTATCCCTATTAAATCAGTCCAAATTTGCTCCACCCATACCAAGTATTTCTTAGATTTTTTAAAAAATTACTTATGTGTTCTTCTGTTTTCTTTCTTTCTTATTTAATTTTTACTCATCTTGAGGGACCAACCCGATTTTCTTATCTCCTTGACCTCTTCATTATGTTAACTCTTAAACTCCTTTTCACTGATTTTCAACAAAACTTAAAGTCTGGATCATTATTTATACTATTTTACTTCATGGAACTCTGGTAGCATAGTGCCTAAGGCACTTGACTGCTAACCAGAAGGCTGCTGTTCAAACCCACCAGCCACTCCTCGGAAGGAAGGTTGAGCAATCTACTTCCAGTGCTACTGCCTCAGAAACCCAAGGAAGGGTCGCTATGAGTCGGGTACGACTTGATGGCACATAAGAACAACAACACTTCATCTTCTTAAGCTGATTGAGGAGTATTCAATTATTTTTAAAATCATGTATTCCTTACAGTATTCAGCAAAGAGCTTTGGAAAAAAATCTCAGTATGTTAAATTATTATTTAGTGAATGAATATGATATGAAAAAAAAAACATAAAAATTTGTTGCTGACAGACAGTAAAATGTAACAGTGTGAGAGTATGTATATGGATATGGGGGTTGAGACAGTAGAGATAGCTGGAATAACATCTTTCCATTATAACATAGCATATACTGCTGTTTTTAGATCCGAGTATGTTTTATTTCCTGCAGGAGCATCTGCATCTCCATTAAAGATACTCTGCACCCCTGATGGCATAAGACTTCAGTGTTTCATGAAATATTTTACAGAAGAGATGAAGGTGAACTGGTATCAAAGGTAAGTAAAGCATTAATTGAATGTGACCATGCCATAGACAAGGGGTGTGCATAACGCTGATGACTGGGAGCCCCGTGAAACACAGCAAAATCTCATGGCCCTAGCCATCCTCTCAACAATTCATAAATCCAAGAAATCTTATATATATCTTATATAAATATATCTTATATAAATATAATACTACTGGGCTGTGGTAGTGATGGGGAATCATGCCATTCGGGAAAACAAGAGAAGGATAATAAGAAAGTGGCAAATTTCTTTAACTTCATCATGTTGCCAAAGCTGGCTGTACTTGTAACTCATATTTCATCTGGAATTTAGCAGGGAACTAATGGAAAAATAATATTTAGAAACCATGCTCCAAATTTCCAGTCTTGATTTCCCAGTAGACTTCATTAAAAAGAAAAGGACTTAAATTCACCCAATAATTTAAATTAAAGAAGAAAGAGAGAAAACAAGATCAACCTGAAAAAACAGTCAGTTTTCTGCATTTTGTATTTACTGCTCTGTTGCTTCTATAGGTGGGTAATTATCACTGTTAAAGCAACTGCCAGACTTTTCACGTGAGTGATCACTGTAGAACTCACAGCATCAGAAACATACCCTGCCCCCCACCCCCAGCCACCTGGTGTCTGCCTTCTTTCATATCTATATCAGAAGCTGATATCTACAGCAACGAGTCAAGGTAGCACACTTGAATTTAAGAGTTCCTTTGGAAATTAGGATTGATCTCAGGATTCATCCTTTTAGTATATAATTGCAGAATAAAAGTAGGTTTCAGATATGGGGGCAGATGGACCAAGGACCACTTCTTTTTATCTATATTTATTCTAAGAAAAGAACACAAAGGCATCATTTTTAGGACAATTTTTCAATGATGTATACATACCAAAATTTTATGCTCCTCAATTAACTGTATCTTTTAATGTCCACATCATGCCTTTAGATATTATGTCTTTCTAATTGATATTTCAGAAGGAAAACTCTATGGTTATGACTATTCCACTTTTATAAATGTTATTTTGTTTAGGTGAATCTATTTATTAGTAAATTGAAGGGCTAAAAAGGTTCTCTTTTGCCTATTTGATTTTGACATACTATGCTTTTGTCTAAAATACTGTGTTTAGAGACAAAATAATAAGACATATTGGTATATTAGTACATCTGTAGTTGGAATCTTACATTTCTATCTTTTACATACTGTAGAATTCAATATTAAGTGGAATCATTCTAGATCTAGATACCATAGTTTGGTAAGGAAGTGCACTAAAACCAGGGTCCTTTTTATAAGGGATTCCAATAACAAAGATTTCATAGACTGAAACTCTGGTTATTTTTGTGATATAATTGTTTGTAAGGATTTATTTTTTAAGACAATGAATAAATCTATGTTTCTAGCTGAATCAAGCATTCCCCTGCAATAGGAGGATTAATCACCTCCTTCTCTGTGCTTTCTCATTATTTACAGCATATTGACTTGTAGTAGGTTGTATGCAGTTGTAATATATGTCTCTCATTCACTTGTAAACATTCACTTCTCCCCTGGGAGAAGATATCTCCAGCTTTATATTTCTAGTGCCCAGTGTAATAATACTTGGAACATATAGTGTAGCATGCCTGTCCCAGTAGCATATTGGGGTATAGAAATATCAAACACACACACACACACACACACACACACACACTACATAAACACACATGAACATGTGTGTGCATAGATATATGTGATATTAGCTTTATTGAGCAGTTATTTTGTGTTAAACACTTATAATACATTATCTTATTTAATTCTTACAAAAGCTCTATGAATTAAGTATTATTATTTATGTTTTATATATGTGGAAACTGAAGTTTAGTGAGAGGAACATAAATTGTTTTAGTCAAAGTTACAAAACAAGTAAGTGAAAGAGAAGATATTTAAATGCTGGTTAGTCTAACAGCAGCCACTACTATACCAAGGGAGCATCAAGGCTAGTAGGGGACATAATTATAAATAGATAAATAAGTGGGCAGGTAAGGGCACAGATCAGATAAAAAAATCACTAGGTCTAAAAAGAGAAGGTCATATAATTATAAATTTCCATAGATTCATAAAGGTGATATTATTTCTATGTTTCCTGTTTCCAAAACAGAATGTTATATAATATAATAGGTATTTATGTAGCACTACTATAATTAAAACGTACCTTTTAGTTATATTTGACTATTGAACAATATAAATAGTTTAAAATACATTTTTAACCCTTTTGTGACCCATAGGACATATATTGTCCACCAACATTTTCAGCCTCTCAAGTTTCTTGAGAAGCTGCTATCCCAGTTGCAATACATGCTACTGCCTGGCAGGGGCATGTATAACTGCATGGATCTGAAGAAATCGGTCTCACTCCACCAATCCTATCACCTGAGTCCACTTGAGACATATATGTCCCATATACCTGTATCCAAATCCATATTATCTCAACAACTTGTTTTATCTTGATTTCAGCATGCCTTCCATTACTGAAAACACATAGTATCAACAAAAAATTTCAAAGAAGAAAATAATTCAATCATTAATGGGTTAAACTATCTTTTGTAGTTATGTTTTATAATTAAGCTGTAACTTTTAGTTATGTTTTAGTAATTGATCATTAAACACATTTTTTACAGCAACTAGAAAAATATAAAATAATATTAACTTTTTTGAGCCATTATGTGCCTTTTGAGGCTAAACGGTCCACTTAAGAAATCTCTGATGCTTGAATAATGTGCTTGTTGAAGGTTTAGACTGTGAACACTAGAACATTTTGGGTTAATGGACATTGTATCAATAGAGTATGGTAAGAATTTTGTGAAATGCGAATGTAAGTAAGGACAATTGTTCTTTGTTTGAAAAGGCTGATTAATATATCAAGGCATGTAGAAAATGTCACTGTTAAAGAAGGGCTGGAAACCTACTCAAAATGAGTTAGAAGTATACTAAGCAGAACTCAGCAAAAATGTTCTTCATGAAAAGGATTTTGTAGCCTTGCTTAAAGGTGAAATTAATATGTCATCTAGAAATGGCTAATCTCAAGTTGTTGAAGTATCGACAATTTAGAACTTGGAAGTATATTAGCTACTAAATAATTTCATGGTGTCTTTAGAGAAGAAGGAAAAAGCATCCTTTAATCTCAGAATGTACATTTTACTTCAACTCAGGAAATCTCATGCACAAAGCTCATATGTGAAAATTCTCCCCTGAAATCTCAATGTATTTTTATTTTTTAAAAAATGTATCAAGCTATAATTTATTTACAACAAACTGCATGCATTTGAACTGTAAAATTTGATGCTTTGACATAGTATACACCTCTAAAATCATTACCCCTGTAAAGACTGTGAACTTATCTATCACCCTCCAAAATGTATCGCTCCCCAGCCCTACTCCCAATCCTAGGCAGCCACTAACTGCCCTCTGTCACTCTATGTCATGGTGACATTTTCTAGCTAGGGAATCATACAGTATATTCTTCTTCTTCTTCTTCTTCTTCTTCTTTTTTTTTTTTGGTCCAGATTCATTCCCATAGCATAATTATTTCAAAATCCATCTACATTGTGTGTGCTAATATTTCATTCCATTTTATTGCTGAGTAATATTTCATTGTATGAAGAAATCACAATTATTTATCCTTTCAGCTCTTGTTGGCCATTTGTGTTGATCCCATTTTTGTGTATTACAAACAAAACTGTGTTGGACATTCATGGACATATATATGGATATGCACTGTCAGTTCTTAAGTGAACACCTAAGAGTGGAATGGCTGGAGCATATGATGTTGTTGTTGTTGTTAGTTGTCATCAAGTTGGTCCCGACTCACAGTGATCCTATGTACAACAGAACAAAACATTGCCCAGTACTGTGCCAACTGCACAGTCTTTGCTACACTTGAGCACATTGTTGTAGCTGCTGTGTCAGTCCATCTTGTTGAAGGTCTTTCCATTTTTCACTGACCCTCTACTTGACCAAGCATGAGATCTTTCTCCTAAGAATAGTCCCTTCTGACAAAATGACCAAAGTAGTAGGTGCGACAAAGTCTGGCCATTCTTACATCCAAGGAACATTCCAGCTGCACTCCTTCCAGGATAGATTGTTCATTCTTCTGGTGGTCCTTGATGTTTTTAATATTCTTTGCCAACACCATAATTCAGACATCAGCCCTTCTTTGATCTTCCTTATTCATTGTCCAGCTTTCACATGCATGTGCAGCAATTGAAAATTCCATGACTTGGGTTAGGTGCACCTTAGTCTTCAAAGTGACATCTTTGCTTCTTAACACTTTAAAGAGGTCTTTTGCAGCAGATTTGCCCAGGACACTACAACATCTGATTTCTTGACTGCTGCTTCTATGGGTATTGATTTTGGATCCAAGTAAAATGATATCCTTGAAAACTTCAATCTGTTCTTTATTTATTGTGATGTTGCTTATTGGTCCAAGTGTGAAGACTTTTGTTTTCTTTATATTGAGATGTAATCCATACTGAAGATTGCAGTCTTTGATCTTCATCAATACAGGCTTCAAGTCTTCCTCACTTTCAGCAAGCAAGTTTGTGTAATTTGCATATCACAGGTTGTTAATGAATCTTTCTCCAATCCTGATGCCATTTTCTTCTTCATATAGTTCAGCTTCTTGGAGTATTTGCCCAGCATACAGATTGAACAAGTGTGGTGAAAGGATACAACCCTGACACACACCCTTCCTTATTTTAAACCAGGCTGTATCCTCTTGTTCTGTTTGAATGACAGCTTCTTGGTCTGTGTACAGGTTCCTCATGAGAACAATTAAGTGTTCTGGAATTCACACTATTTGCAATGTTATCCATAATTTGTTATGATTCACACAGTGGAATGCTTTTGCATAGCCAATAAAACACAAGTAAACATCTTTCTGGTATACTTTGCTTTCAGTCAAGATCCATGTGTATCTTGAATTTCTGGAAGTTTCGTTTAAATATACTGCTGCAACTGTTTTTGAATT